GAAGGACGAGACGCCGCCGTGGCTGTACATGGGCTCGAGGCTCATGCCATGGTGGTCATAGTGGTAGGGCTCGTGGGCCGGGTCGTGGGACATGGTCGCCGCCTTCACTTCTTCGTGTCGAGCAAGGGAAACACCAACTGGCCGAAGAACGGGAGCGCAGTAGCCAGCTGGCATGGCCATGATCTAAGAACCACGTGGCTTAGGTTGCATTACTGCTGCGCGGCCCTGCCCCACATGGCAGTAGCTTGGAGGCTGATGCGCATTTTTAATCTCGTTGGACTTGATGTTTGTATGCGGATTTGATCCTGGCACGTCTGGCCACCAAAGGTCGTAGGATGCGCCGCCACGTCTTAGGCTTCATCTTTGTATGAGTACTTCGAACTTCGAGAAGCCATCCACGCCGGGGATTACGCGTGCTGGACAGCGTGGGACGCTTCGCTGGGCGCCTCGAAGTTGACGTCGTCCTTCGAGTCGCATTAAAAATCCGTCTAAACACTTGAAAAATGTGAGCAATAGAATGCAAACGCCCAAATGGTGGGAAAAGAAGGGCCAAATATTGGTCCAAATGGGTGGAACCAACCTTGTAGATTCGATTACACCAACCTGGGCGGCGACGTCGGCCTGGAACCTGCGCGGACATCACTCTCAGAGAGAGCTGCTTGCCTCGTCCTTGGGCCTTTGTATGGCGCGCCAAGGTACTCGGTTTTGCCTTCTTCATGAACGCGATTTCTTGTTGGCATCGACACCACGTGCAACTGCCTTTCTCTTCGGGGGGCATAGAAATCGCAAGTCGTCACGGGCCAACTTCGACCAGCTGGGCATCCACTTCAAACGGTTTCAAAAATTGAACCCGGTGACCAGCTGCGCGCGTAGTGACTTGTGCTGGTTACGTGTGATCGCGACGAAGTCTTCGCCACGACTGGCTGCTGGTGTTCGCAGGCGAAGAAGGCAGTCAGTCAACGGCAACTGCGCCCAGGACACGGTCGCTTCATTCGCCTCGCCTAGCTTGCACACAATCATAATGTAGTATGCAATAGTAGAAGAAGGTCCATCGAAGACACAGAGTGCGTACCTGGTTCCTGGTGCAGGGGATGGACGTTGTGTGTATGTGCGGTCACGTGCAACGCGTGGAGGACGGTCGATGGAAGAGGCACTGTGGACATGTTGGCTCGGAAATAAGGAGTGTAGTAGCCGCTTGCTCTCGACTTGGCAGTCAATGAAAGGAGACATGCTTGAACTCAAGTTTCCAAGGGGCGCCGCCCATCACGACCTTCAAGGAAGCAGGCGCTGCTGTCGAGACAAGCCGACGCAAGTATGCGATGTAGACGCTCAAAAAGTGAAGTCCGCGATCAAATGGGTGGCGGATCGACTTGGATCAAAATGCACCCAATGATGAGCATGCGTTCATGAAGCAGAGAACGCAGCAATCTCCTCCGTCGTCAAGGAAAAGAGGCGATCATATCACACACCGTGACGTATGCGCTTCAAGGATCAAAGCCGTGGTGCGCTTTCGAAGGCTGTAGTCATCCAATGGCGGTATACTTGGAGCCAATCGGGGCGTGGGCCGCAGCAAGTTGATCGCGCTTGGCACCGTGGCTAGCGTACTAGGTACTGTAGTCCTGTGTAGAACCGATCAAGCAGGTTGAGGCATGCGCGACGACAACGCGAATGGCTGTCGCATCATCATCATCCACTGTTTCGCTCCGATACACTGCATCGCCAACAAACACTGCATCGTCGACTTTCCGAAATACACTGGATGCTCGACCGCTCGACATTCTGTTTGAGGGACGACAGAGGCATACACGAGTGACGACCTACGTAGTATGCTAGTGAGCTCCGATACGCACTACAGTACCGGTACATGCTTGTGTGTATAGTACAGTACAGTGTGTGCACAAGCAGCAGCGCGCGAACCGTCCGAACGGTGCGCGCGACTTCGGTGGGCGCTCGCGCATGATTGCATCGGCGTGTCACGCGACCCGCCAACCTCGTAGACACGATCGCGACGTCGGCCAACACCATCACGACAGGTCTCTCTACTGCAGCTTCGGGGCTCTGGCGCCGTCGACGCTTCGCAGTTTGAACGAGCCATGGACGCGGTCCTGTCCACGCCGGGGCTGAGCATCTGGTAGCGGTCATTGCAACGGCGCTGTCGTAGCCACCAGCACGCGGCAAGGTCGATGGACTCGTCGTAGAATGAACCTTCGCGGAGCTTCGGGCTTGACATGGCGGTGGATGCAACGTACCGGAAGCGGGCCAATCACGGCGCGGCAACGTTGCGATCTTCAAGCAAATCGTGTACGTACCCGACCCACCCCCTATGAAAACAAAACAATAGCATCTTTGTATGTCGAAAAGAAGGGTCCCCATGCGAGGCGAGGGGGGGCATCATCTTGGAAAGAGAGGCGCAGGAGCGCATTTCCATTTTCATCCCGACCAGACCATCAAGATGGCGCAACCGATCACGTGCAAGGCCGCAGTGTGCTGGGGCGCGAAGCAGGACTTTGTCATTGAAGACGTCATTGTCGGCGCCCCGGCCGCGGGCGAGGTGCGCATCAAGATCACGGCCACCGGCGTCTGCCACACGGACGAGTACACGCGGTCGGGCGCGGATCCGGAGGGCATCTTCCCGTGCATCATGGGCCATGAAGGCGCCGGCATCGTCGAGAGCGTCGGCGAAGGCGTCACGTCGCTCCAGGTCGGCGACCACGTCATCCCGTGCTACACGCCGCAGTGCCGCAACTGCAAGTTTTGGTACCCGCAAAAAATCCCATGAGATGAGGAGGTGCTCATGCTCGCATGCTCGTAGCAAGTCGAACAAGACCAACTTGTGCTCGATCATTCGCTCGACGCAGGGCAGCGGCCTCATGCCCAACGGCACGTCGCGCTTCACGTGCAAGCGCAACGGCGAGGTAGACGTCCGCCTCGAGCAAGCAGCTCATCATCATCATCATCATATGGATGTAGACCATCTACCACTTTATGGGTCACGTCGACGTTCTCCGAGTACACGGTGCTGCCCGAGACTCTCGGTCGCCAAGATCGA